CAGGGAGCCATGGTAACTGTGGGGATGTTCAGGGAACCATGGTAACTATGGGGTGTCCTAGGGAGTCATGGTAACTAATTGGATGTCCTAGGGAGATTAACCCATCTAACCATTCATCTCTCTGGGTTTAGACAGGTGTTGGGTGGGTGGGGGTTGGTGGCGAGGGCGAGCATGCCATGACAGAACTGTCTCAAACATTCCTGTACCTTCCAGCTGGGATATTGGATAGAAATGAGGGACAAGAATTGAATTATCTCCTCCACATCCCAGAGCACTCTGGCTTTTTAAAAATGCACTCTTTTTGATGTGGGCATTATTTTCTAGGTCAGCATTAGGCCAAGGGGCGGCACGGTGGCTCAGTGGTTAGTACTGCTGCCTCACAGCGCCAGGGACCTGGGTTTGATTCCACCCTCGGGCAACTGCCCGTGTGGAGTTTGCACATTCTCCCTGTGTCTGTGTGGATTCTCTATGGGTGCTCCAGTTTCCTCCCACAGTCCAAAGATGTGCAGTCTACATGGATTAACCATGGGAAATACAGGGTTACAGGGATAGGGTAGGGGTGTGAGGTGAGTCTGTGTGGGATGCTCTTTGGAGGCACCGTGTGAGCTTGATGGGCCAGATGGCCTGCTTCTACACTGTAATAATTCTATGATTTATAATTGTCCAGAGGGCAGTTCACAGTCACCCACATGGCTGTGGGTCAGGTGGCACATGTAGACCAGGGTAAGGATGGCAGTTTCCTTCCCTAAAGGACATTAGTGAACCTGATGGGTTTTTACAACAGCTGACAATAGTTTCATGGTCACCATTAGACTAGGTATTTATTCAAGATTAAATCATTATTATTGAAGCCACAGAGAGCAATGTCCTGCCACAGAGTGAGTGGGGTCTACAGTCACTGATGGACATGGTTTTACCAGGTGTGCTGGAGATATTGGTATGTGATCCAACTCTGATATAATTCACTGGTCTCAGTGTGTGAAATAAGCCGTTACATCTCCATGTGAGACAGGACTGTCACAAGGACTGGTCGCCTTTATTCCCTGAGGACATTTGCCTTCACAGACTCACAGGCAGCCTCCGCAAATAGGAACAGATAGCAGGCCATTCGGCCCCTCTGGCCTATTCCACCATCCAATTAGGTCAAGAGTGATCTGGATCCTAAGTCCATCTTCCTGTCCTTGCTGCATATTCCAAAACTCCTTTATCCAACAAAAATCAATCAGTTTTGAAAGTTCTGAAACGCGGGGCCATATTTTTAAGGACAACTTTTCCACAGAGAGTGGTTAGTGTGTGGAATGAACTCCCAGAGGAAGTGGCGGATGCAGGTACAGTTACAACATTTAAAAGACATTTAGTTAAGTTTATGAGCCAAGCACAGGCAAGTAGAACTAGTTTAGTTTGGGATCATGGTCGGTGTGGACTGGTTGGACTGAAGGGTCTGTTTCTGTGCTGGATGACTCTATGACAATGCCAACAACTTTTCCAGAAGAGCTCGAGGTTCCCATTCCCACTGTGAGTGAGGAAGTGCTTCCTGACATCCCCCCGAACAGCCTAGCTTGGATCTGAAGATGCAGGCCTTTGGCAACAGCTCCCTCATGCCTCTCTAACAACTTTATCAAACCCTGTAATCATTCTTAAACCCCCAAATCAGATTACCTCTTAATCTTCCTAAATTCAAATAAATGCTAGTCTAACCTGTACAGCTAATTTGATACATATGTCACACTATTATAGTATAATTTCAATAAATAATGAACATAACAGCCACTGTGGGGTGGCACGGTGGCTCAGTGGTTAGCACTGCTGCCTTACAGCACCAGAGATCCAGGTTCAATTCCACCCTTAGGCATCTGTCTGTGTGGAGTTTGCACATTCTGCATGTGTTTTCTTCCAAAGATGTGTAGGTTAGGTGGTTTGGCCATGTTAAATTGCCCATAGTGTCCAGCAATGTGCAGGCTGTGTGGGTTAGTCATGGGAAATGTAGGGGAGGTGGGCCTGTGTGGGATGCTTTTCTACTGTGGGATTCTATGATTTATTATGTGTTTTAGATGGGAATTCAGCTGATCTGGTAGGAGTTACATGGCGTTGCATGTAATGAAAGCAATCTAATTGGAGGTTGAAGTTTATATTTTCTGTACTTTCACAGCTTCAAACTTAATAAAAACGGGGATAGTGGGAACTGCCGATGCTGGAGAATCTGAGATAACATGGTGTAGAGCAGGTTGAACACAGCAGGCCAAGAGGCATCAGAGGAGCAGGAAAGCTGACGTTTCAGGTCTGGACCCTTCTTTAGAAAATTTTCGGACCCGAAGCGTCAGCCTTCCTGCTCCTCTGATGCTGCCTGGCCTGCTGTGCTCATCCAGCTCTACACCTTGTTATCTCTAATAAAAACGGGGAATGCTGGAGAAACTCAGCAGGTGTGCCAGCATTTGCAGAGAGAAAGTAGAGTTAACATCTGAAGTCTGACAGGACTCGAAACATTAACTCAGTTTCTCTCCACAGATGCTGCCAGACCCATTGAGTTTCTCCAGCATTCTCTTTCTATTAAAGAATTCCACCATCTGCAGTTTATTTTAATCCTGTTCAATGAGGGGTGTGCTGCAATACTGCTCTTTGGCCATCAGGTGTCAGCAACACTCCACATTGGTTTTGTGGTTTTGGAGACAGTAAGGGCTGCAGAAGCTGGAAGCCAGGAGTCAATAAACATGGAGCTGGACTCGTCACATGGTCTTCTACCCACTCCACATTTATTGATTTTATTGCTTTAATATATAATACGTGGGCAACCCAACCATTTCTTTCTGGAATGGAAGAGGAATGAGAAAGTACTGGGCTAAAATTTTCCAGGGCAATGAGGAATGTGTAGAATGAGGGAGAGGAGTCAGTGATTGGGGGAGAGTGTACACGGGGCAGTGGAAGGGGGATTAAATGGGTGGGTAGGGTCAGTGATGGGGGGGGTGAGTGTACACATAGCAGTGGGAGGGGGATTAAATGGGTGGGTAGGGTCAGTGATGAGGGGGAGAGTGTACACGGGGCTGTGGGAGGGGGATTAAATGGGAGGGTAGGGTCAGTGATGGGGGGGAGAGTGTACACGGGGCAGTGGGAGGGGGATTAAATGGGAGGGTAGGGTCAGTGATGGGGGGGGG